CGATATACTCGATAATATCAAATCGCACATCGTTAAAACAACAATTACGATATTATCGCAGACCATACATATCGCACACCCCTATGTTTAGATTTTTATAATGCATTGTCTTCTTATCGATCCACCAGTTCACATTCAAAGCTCTGCGTGTTTGCAGGGTAAAAACATGGGTCGATTTTCGCATTGGTCTGAACTCTGAACAAAATAACAGTTTTATTGAAAATGCTCATTCATTCTCTGCCAGCAGGTAGAGCGTTTGGTAGAAATATAACTGTTTTCGCGATAACGGCAGAACACAAAGCAGTACAGCACCGGATTTTGAACCTGCAGCGCTCATGTTTATTCAATGAAGTCATAGCCTTTTGAAGTTTAATCGTCACATTCAGCCATATCGCAATTCTGGTCTTTCCGTCCCCAAATTTAAGACCTTTTGAAATCATAATTAAGACTTTCTTGTACAATTTAAGACTTTTTCAGGCCTTAAATTTGATACAACTAAATTTAAGACTTTTTAAGACCCCACGGAAACCCTGTTAGAACAATTTTAAATAAAATTATTTTATAGGAGAAAAACTTGCAATTGCTATTAGAAAAAGCTCAAGTCAACTCAATGAAAGGAGTAAAATCTGAGGGCACACTATAATATGACAAAAAGTCAAGTAGTGTGCACATGTAATGATACCTGCGAGCTGGGCTGGAGGATGCACTCTGCCGTTTTCGGCTCTTACTGGGAGGTGGAGTTTCATTGTCACTCCTTTTTCTCTTTCTTTTGGTTGTTTCTCTGTCATCTGATGAACTGTTGATGAACAAATGATAACATTTAAATATATAGTAAATAAATACAGTTATCAAAGGTAACTTACAGTGATGAGGAGAAAACCCACCTCTCTGTGTCACTCTTCACCGATTCCTCCCTGAAAGCAATGAATAAAATCATTGAACTTATGCGTCAAATAAAGCTCACAATTATTAAATGAAGGATTTTCTCAAAATGACAGCAGTAGGGTAAAGTGTGTTAGCCTCCTGGACAACTTGCCTCAAAGCATCTCAGTTAATAGTGATAATATTACCACATGCAAATAATCCGACTGTTAAACCTTTTCCTAGATGGTTTATGAAAATGCAAATGTCAAGAAATGTAAGATTTGAAAACCATTTACAAATGTAAAATATAATTCCCTTTTACATTAATTGTATTTATTTTTTAATGGTTCACATATTCCAGAGTGACTCAACTAATAAATAAATTGAATAAAATACTGTATATTTAGGTGCATTCATTTTATCCGATTATCACATCTTAGCCCAGTCTCCCCTATGAATTAACAGAATTTTGTAATTTAAGGGCAATAAATGAAACCTTTTCTTTTTCTTCTTTTCCTTTTTCTTCTCTCGTCGAGGAGAGGGTGAGGGGCTCTCAGAGCTGTTACAAGAGAGAAAATTGATTCATTAATATATTATTTTCTTAGAACTCATGCTAAAAGTGTTCCAAATTACTTCTCCATTCTCCAGTTTACCTTTCTCTGCTTTTCTTTTTCTTTTTCTTCTGGCTCTTTTTTCGCTCAGGAGATGAATCGGAGTTATCAGACTCAATAATCCTGAAATGAAATGATGAGAGAAAGACTGAACAGAAAGTAAGTACTCAGATAAGGTACAACACATGAAAGTTTGGACTTCTGAAAGGTACAGTACATTTTCGCAGTACATCAAGCTCTTTTATCTCAGGAAAAATTGATTCCTCATGATAAGACCCCTCCAATCTCCCCTCCATCTACTCACTGGTACTTCTGCTGCTGCTGCTTCTCTCTTTCCAGCCTCTCCTGCTCCCTCTTCTCCTTCTCTCGCTCCTTCCGGTCAGGATGAAAGGATGAGCCGTCAACGTAGTCAGAGCTGATACCGAAAGCTTCTCTCAGACGGTCATTTTTTTGCTGGTTAGCAGCTGCCAGTGCATGAGTCTCGGTCACACTGTGAGAAAGAGCAAAACATGGATGGGGAAAAAAAAAAAACTATTAACGGTACACAGAAAAGGCCATTAAAAAAGCCTTAATTTCTGTCTGAATGATCTGAAGTAATACTCACGCTGGCCTCTCTGTTGGAGGAGGGGCAGGTTCTTGTCTTTCTTGCAGCATCAAACGGAAGGTGTTGACTTTCTCTTCGATCTCCTCTGCAGAGTACCTGTCACACAGGATGACTTGGTCAGAGGCTGCTCTTAATATCAACTTCTTGTGATGGCAAAGCTGACTGTTCAGCAACCATTACGTCAGTCTTTAGTGTCAGAAATCATTCTCTAATATGCTGATTTGATGCTCAAGAAACATTTCTTATTACTATTCTTTATATTTGATCTCATCTTACCCCTGCTCCTCCATCATGTCCTGCAGCTCCGCACATTTCACCTCCAGCTGTCTCTTCCTCTGGTGCTCTAGGATATCAGCGTTAGGTTGTCTGTTCAGCTGGCTCTCCAGTCTCTCTCTGTCTTTCTCATCCCGCTCTCCTCCGCGCTCATCCCTGTTCCTTTTCACGCGTACGCTGGACAGGTTCCGCTGAACGTAGCCATTCGTGCCACTGCCTCGCGGCGTGGTCAAACCGATACCGTTATACATCTCTGCTCTGAGAGGCCAGACACAACATGAGAACTCATGAGTAAGCACTGAATTTAATAACTTTGCATATCACATTCCTACTTTTTAAGTGGCCGGGGAAAAAAGCAATTGCTACATAAATAATGTCAATAAATGAGTGCAATAAATTAGTGATATATATATATATATATATATATATATATATATATATATACAAAGTTGTTAAATTAAGTGCTTACTCGTGTATATATATAATTTTTTTTTCTCCACACAAAACGGAACCTATTCAAAGAATGGTTAAAAAATTATTAACATTTTTACAGTTGTTTTCTGAGCTGTTCTGTCATTATTTCTTCATTGATATTACTATATATACAACATTAAAAATAATAAATCATATTTAAAATATGCTTGATACAAATATTTGTTACAGTATTTAAAACATCAAATAGTGAAATTTCTTTTCATTAGAGTATTGTGGTTGTACAGTGGTGATACTTGGTGTATCAAATATAGTGCCGAATTTATGCAACCCTAAAATGCCCAGAATTGCACATTTGCAAAAAATTTTCCAAATTACACCCTGATACAAATTTTGCCTAAACGAAATTACTTTTATAACTAATGCCTTTCTAAAGACATGTATGTTAAGTATATCTTTTAATGTGCTAAATCACTAACAACATTTGTCCAGAAATAGAAAGATTCAGCACTTTGTCTGACATGACCGAGAAAAAAAAACACTTTAAAGCAAGACAGCGTAGTAGTATTATTCGCTGCAAGTCTAGGGCTGTTTAATAATTACAGAGGTAATTTACAGAGGCTGTGTTGTACACAATTGATCAAACATATGTTGAAACGTGCTCAAGTTATGAAAATTAATCCCACCAAGTTATTGGGGCTCCCACAATCCATATGATCTAAAGGGGTCATATGATGCGATTTCAATTTTTCCTTTCTCTTTGGAGTGTTACAAGCTCACTCTAGCCCGCCGTGTGTTTCGTTGTGAAACCGAAACTACTTTGTTTGGCCTTCCAAAAGTGGACACGACTAGAAATCAGTGGTTAAGTTGTATTTACAACACTGTTCCAGAACACTTCAACACAAATATTCAGATGTGTGCAGCACATTTTATGGAGGACCGTTTCCTGATCCTGGTAGAGTAGACTACAATGCCGGCTGTTCTGACTCACAGTCTGTAAGTAAGTTTTTTATATTTAAAGAATTTGACCAATAATAAAAAAAACAATAATAATATTATTTATTATAAAATAAATAAATAATAATAAAAAGGGGCGTAACATTTCCGACACACGCTTGAGGTATTCGGCCAATCCCAACGCACTGGATAGCTGGCCAATCACAGCACACCTCGCTTTTCAGACCGATGAGCTTTGTAAAAATCGACGCGTTTCAGAAAGGCGGGGCATAGAGGAGAAACAATAATGTACAGTATGTGGAAAATAATGTGTTTTTTGAACCTTAAACCGCATAAACACATTTCATTACACCAAATACACAAAATAATGTTCTTTTTAGCAACATCATATGACCCCTTTAAGCAACCTACCTAGACACCATTAAAGTAGTGGTAAACGCTCCAAACATCCCATATTGTGCCTAACATGCTGTCTAGGTAGGCTATTCGCTGTATTTTCATACACAGATAGTATATCGCGCGCACAAGATGAAGAACACAGTCTTAAACCAACAACAGGCCGAGGCCTTCTGTGCAGCTAATGCTTCCTCCATACCACAACCCGTTGATTATTTTTCATTTTTAGTGTTGATGTAATAAAACTATAGTTTATGAAAAACAAAATACCCTGTGTTTACTTGTATAACAGAATTTGAGTTGTTTTAGCGCGCTAACTTTGTCCTGTATGCTAACAGGATCACTCCAGTCCACAGAACAGCATGCTAACTAACTGCTCATTGAGCTTCTGTAACGTGAGTGCTACGTACCTCTGGGATCCCGCTCAGGGAGAGAACAAAAGTAGAACCGTTACAGACCAAAGACCGAACAACTGTGGCACAACAAGCGGAAACCCAGCGATCCTATATCAAATAATCCTTGTAAAATAAAAACGATGTACGCAACGTTGGCTAGGATGAACAGGTAACGCTCATTTGGACGTCATCGTCACGACCTCGCGATAATATTCGGGGAATGACTGTGGACTACATTTCCCACAATCCCATTCACTCGCGTCACCCATGCTGCAAGTGCGTTTTTGGTGCTTCAAAGTAAGATTTTTTTTGTGTGTCTCTTATGCTCAGGGGCGTGTCTACGTGGTGGCCAGGGGTGGCACCGGCCCCCCCTGAAATTTGGCTGGCCACCCCAGGTGCCCCCCCTACCAGATGTCTTGCGATAGGCTTGTTTTTAGTAAATTTCTAACTGCATCTGGCAGTGGCGGATCCTGGCATGTGTAGGCAGCTGACTAGGGCCGCTTTCTTCTCTTCTTTATACTTAATTTTAGGCGGTTTCTATAGTGTGATCTTAATGACAATGTGGTCTTCATCCTCACTTGAACACTTCGGCCAAATACAGGAAATACGTCATATAAGTAATCAAGTGGTCAAGTGCAAAGACTGCAAGTGTGGGTATTTGGACAAAGCCACAGCTAATGTCGAGAGCGCATAATGTTACGCGATCCATGTGCGCGAGGACGAATCTCTCCACTCCCAAGCGGATTTCCTTCACTCACACAAAACTGGACGTGTGCTTTTAAATATTGTTCTTTTATGAATTGGCTCTGCTCTGTCACATGAAAACTATATGTGAAACAGTACTGCAATTTAAAACAACCTTTTTTTCTTTTTTTAGTTATATTTTAAGATATAGACTTCATGATGGAAAAGTTCCAGTTCCAGGGGGGGATCATACATCTTGCATCTGACTGAATTCACTTTGGATGTAAACTTGACAAATAAAAAAAAGAGAGAATAAGCCTCATTGCGATTTATTTTACATTATGTAATAAATTCTAGTGTAATACTGAAAGAATAATTACATGACGTCGTTGTTTGGATTTTTGTTATTATTATTTTTTTTAATCAATTCAAATATTGATTAAAGTATTGTCTTGTGTCTTTTAGTCAACTGTGTTTTAGCTTTGAGAGCATCTACTAGTGTACTTCTAAACACTGCCCATTTATGTAGTATGTACTATGATGTATACCATATATAGTTTGTAGAAAGCAGTATGTCACATGAGTAAGAGGTCCGAATACACAGTATTCAAGAAACAGGCAAACAATCCAGAGCTTACACATCTGCTGAGATTCTAAAGTGAGCAACTAGTGGACACTTTCCTATCCCAAATGATGGCAGAAATTTGTTGCTAGGTAAAAATCAAGTACATTTTCACTAACTTCACAGTCAAAATCACAACATTAAAAAAATCACCGTAAATACTACACAAATAATATAAATCTAATCAGTAAAATACAAGAACCAAAATCCAACCTGTGATAACTGGATATATAACATATGACAAAACACATATCATAGCTGCTGTACTCTGGACACAAGTACAATCTTTGTCTCTTCTGGGAATCTCAGGTGTGTGAGTTGAAATGTGACCTTCACATTTCATCCAGTCAATAGCAATGGACTTTGGGGAAGCAGACTCCTGGTCCAGGCCACCTCTTTTTAAAATCCAGTAGTTTGATTCTTTAAAGAAGTAAGTGTCTCCTGAGGTAAATACAAACAAAACAATTTGATGACCTCTGTTTGAGAGAAAATCATTCATTAAAAAAAAAATAATAATAAACATTTTTATAAAAGAAACATCTTACTATCTACAAATCCAATGATATCATCAGGGTGAGAGGGCATCCCCCAGATGGACGCTGGTTTAGGGTACCCTTCTTCCAGCTTCCTCTCTGTTCCCGACTCATCAAACCTCCAGTACTCTCCACCACTGAACAGATACGTTTTCCCATTGTGTGGCCACACAAATACTGCCTCCACCCTCTCTGGAAGCCCTCCTGCAGAAGTGCGTAAACCCCATTCTGAAAGTGGTCGTGGGTACTCAGGGAGGGACACTGTGTCTCTAAATACCCAGTACTGATTACCTGAGAAAGGTATGAAAAAGTAAACATGAAGATGGAAGAATGAACATGCTTGCATATATATATACATATATATGTGTGTGTGTGTGTGTGTACCAATAAAGAAGAGAATATGTCCATCTCTTCTCTCATATACTGCATCAACTCTGGCTGTTTCTGGAGGCAAACCCATCCAGAAGCTGTGGATCAGAGCTGGAGTCAAGGATATTAATGAGCCTGAATGATGTACCCTCCAAAAGTGTGGACCTGATAAAAAGCAAATGGTTAAGGGAGAGGATGATAAACAATATTTTCTTTCACTTTTATAATTTTATAATAACTTTCTATCAGTATTTGTCAGGATATGTTGTGTGAGGATACCATGAGAATCTAATATCCCTTTGATACTTTTACAGTCCACAAATGTTGTAACAAATGTACATTACCATTCAAAATTTTCATGTCAGTAATTAAAAAAAAATCTATACTTTTATTCAGCAAGGATGCATTAAATGGATCAAAAGTGACAGTAAAGACATTTATAATATTACAAAGGTTTTCTATTTCAAATGAATTATGTTCTTTTGAAGTTTCTATTCATCAAATAATCCTGAAAAAAGGTCTTACAGTTTCCACAAAATATTAAGCAGCACAACTGTTTCCAACACTGATAATAATGAGAAATGTTTCTTGAGCAGCAAATCAGCAAAGAACGATTTCTGAAGGATGATGTGACTGATGAAGACTGGAGTAATGATGCTGAAAATTCAGCTTTGCCATCAATGGAATACATTTTTAAAATATATTAAAATAGAAAACAATTATTTTACATTTTAATTTTTCACTAGATTACAGTTTTTACTGTATTCGCTATATCAAATAAGTGGGGCCTTGATGAGCATAAGAGACATCATTCAAAAACATTCAAAAATCTTACTGACCCCCAAACTTTTGAACAGCAGTGTAAATCAAACATCATACCTCTAAAGAATAAAACCTCTCCTCTGATATTAGCGACTGCATCATAACCTCCCTGACAGCGATCAGCAGAGGCTGGTGGGCTAAAAAAAAAGAAAAGCAATTAAAAAAATATAACAATCATTGTCAAACCTGTTGTGATCACAGTGTTACTCACTGATAGGGAGGATTTGGAGGAGCTGGGGTCGAGGAGTGGGACAGATGAGTTGTGGGTGCAACAACAGATGGAGAAGGTTTAAAATCTTGTCTTTTTCCTGCATGGTAAACAGTCATGAGAAAATAGTCTATCTATCTACCTTTTTTATTTATTTATTTATTTTTACATATTAGGGAGTACCATAAAGTGCCTGTATTCTCAGTCTGTCATCAAGGGATAAGGAGTAACTGTGCATGTCTCCCACAGGACCATGATAATAAGGATTCATGATGGAGTCATTGGAGGATGAGTGAAACAGGCCTAAAGCATGACCAAACTCATGAACTGCGACTGTGAATAAATCTGTGGCACTACTCCAATCTGTGGAATTGTAGAAACATAAAACATTTAAGCACTTCTGACCAATCTCCTGTTCTTTTATTCTATCTATTAATATCTGTAGATAATGATGTCAGATCCACAAAGATGTATACAGCATTTAATTTACCTCCATAGCTCCAGCTCTCTCCATCATCAAAGTGTGTGTCACCAGCAAGATCTCCCTTTCCTGGGAAGAATGCATGTGCCAGATTGCCCCCCTTGCCATCAAAAGGATATCCATCCTCATGGTAGCTGCTTGCAAAGGTGACTTTGATGTCTATCTGTGGTGATGGGCCATATGGAGGAGGGTGGAAACGCAGAGGTGTGACATCACTCCATACTCGGAGGGCAGAGGTTAAAATGAGCCTCACCAGCCCTGGATGTAAAGTGGGAGACATGGAAGGAGATGGAAACTCTTGCACGCTGAGGAAAAGAAGGGAAAGATGTGGGATTATTGGACATGAATAGTCTGGTTAAGGTCACATAAATAAAGGCTTCACTGTAAAAAAATAAAAATAATAATTAAGTTCATTAAGCAATATTTTGTTATTTGTTACTTTAACTACCAAAATCTGCTTTTGGTCAACCAGCATAAAACCACAGATGATACAATAGAAAGCCACACGATGAATCAGAGTTTATTGTAAGTGTTCTGTCCATAAAACATGGCCAATACTTGTGTATACTGATGATGCACAGGTCACACACAAAAACACAAAACACCATTATGGTAACACAAATTACACTAAATAATACAATATGAAATATATAACATAAAATTTGACACAAAACAGCCTAATGTACATTTCTGATCACAAACATGAGCAACAAAAAACATATATCAATTACAGTTTTCACTGTATATAAAATAACTTAGTTAACAACTATACCAGGTTTTTACTGTAGAATTGTGACTTTTTTTCTGTAGTTACAAACTTTTTTTTTTATTTTTTTTTTACAATGTATAGAATACATTGCTGGAGACTTAAAGATCCCACCTCCAGGTGATATCAGCCTTGTCCCAGCTCAATCTTGGCAGAGTGTATCTCCTCTTCAGCTTCCCTTTACCTCTTCTCCTTCCTTTCAACAGATCCTCAGAGCTGATGGTGTCCGGCAGAGAGCAGCGAGGTCTGGCCATCAGTTCTAAAGTGGCATGATCTAAAGTTTGACAAAAGGACGAGAGGAATCATCAGAGTTAGTGACAGAAGGATCATGGTACATATGCGCTCTTAAGGGCATTCGTCCATTTGGTTGAACCTAAAGTGTTACAGTACAAATAAGTAAGGAAAAAATCTGTCACCTAGTTTGCCAGTCTCTTCAATACCAGCAAAACACTGCATTTTACGGACAGCTTCTTCAATACCCTCCCTGGTCTGAAGTCGACCAGTTAGAGATTCTGGAGATGGTAAATACCCATACCGAATCAACCAGTCCTATGCACACACGCACAAACAAAAACATTCCGGTTACTAACGTAACCTCAGTTCCCTGAGATAAGGGAACAAGTGTTGCATACACACGCTTATGGGGAAACTCCTGTTTACTCTGATACTGAAGCCTGATTTGTTCACGTTTGTGTACCTGCATGAACAAATGGCGCTTCAACCTGACAAAAGGGGAGGAGCTGACTACTATATAAGTCGGCTCAGAGCACCATTCATCAGAATCTTTTGACTGTCAGCGACAGCCATCAACTCGCGTGCAGACCTATAGCATGGCAGCTTACGCAACGCTCGTTCCCTTATCTCAGGGAACCGAGGTTACGTTAGTAGCATTCCCTTTCAAATGGTCTCTCCCGTTGAGTGAACACGCTTATGGGGAATGCATCCAATAGCGCCACCCTATAAGTAAATGCAGAACTAAGTCGCTCTGCTCGCCCAGCCCCAGAGCGCCTGAAATGAGGGCCCCTAAGAAGAGCAAAGATTGAGCCCCAAGCTAGCCTGCTGGGGACTACATAGCAAAACCATTTCCACTCAAAGAAGGGATTAGGTAAATTCAAGCACACAAGATCCGTGCCTGGAGGGCAGGGACATCTAAATTATAAAACCTTGTAAAGGTTGACAGCGACGACCAGCCGGCGGCTGATGCATCTATATAGATGTCATCAATATAGATCCCACTGGACCACGCCCAGGAGGAGGCCATCCCTCGAATGGAGTGGACCAACATAAGCCAGGGCTATAGCATCGACTATCCAATGAGATCATCGTTGCTTCGTAACTGGCAGCCCTTTAGAGCAGCCTCCGAAGCATACAAAATGCTGCTCTGAGTGCTGAAATGGGCCAGAGCGCTCAACATACACTCTAAGAGCCCTAACTGGGCAGAGTGGATTGGGACCCTGCTTGTTCTCTGTACTAGGAAGAGCTAGAAGGGTAATAACCTGTGCTCTGAACGGGGTTGACAGCACCTTAGGCACATAGCCGTGTCTTTGTTTGAGGACGACTTTACAGTCATTAGGCCTAAACTCAAGGCATGAAGCACTGACTGACAGTGCTTGCAAGTCACCTACTCGCTTGACCGATGTTAACACCAAAAGGAGGGGGGTCTTGAGCGACAAGTGCCGCAAATTGGCCGAATGAAGCAACTCAAAGGGAGCGCCTCGTTGGGACTATAGATAAGTCTCAGGTCAGCACAGAATGAGGACGAGGCGGGTTCAACCTCCGAGCTCCCCTCAGAAATTTAATGACAAGGTCGTTTTTGTCGACTGACTGGCCAGCCACGGGAGCATGATTCACCATGATAGCTGCCACATACACTTTGAGCGTGGAAGGGGTGCGCCCCTTATCCAACAGCCTCTTGTAAAAAAGTGAGCACGTGTAGCACTTCACAAAAGGACGGGTCCAGACTGCGTGCTGCACACCAGTCAGAAAAGACTGACCATTTAAGGGCATAGAGGCGTCTTGTAGACTGTGCTCTAGCCTGCAAAATGGTATTAGTTACACTCACGGAGAGCTGTAAAGGTTCCCGTTGAGTGGCCAAACATGAAGGTTCCACAGTTCGGGCTGGGGATGCCAAATCATTCCTCTTGCTTGCGAGAGTAGGTCTCTCCTCAATGGTATCGGCTTTTAGCCCCCATAGCAGCTGAATCAACTCAGGGAACCATGTCTGATTCCTCCAGAGTGGGACCACCAGGAGGACCAAGCATCTGACTTCCTTGACCCGTCTGATGACCTGAGGAAGCAGGGCAACCGGGGGGGAAGGCATACAAGCAAGCGCTGGGCCAGTCGTGGGCCAGGGCATCTCACTGCTTCGAAAAGTAAATTGGGCAATGAAAGTTGCCTTCTGAGGCGAAGAGGTCTACCTCTCCCCTCCCGAAGACAGACCAGATCATTTGAACCGATTGGGGATGTAGTCTCCATTCGCCTGATGCTACATTGCCCCTGGACAGCATGTCCGCTCCTTGGTTCAATCTGCCCGGCACATGAACTGCTCTTAGCGAGAGGAGATAGCGATGTGCACATAAAAGGAGGTGTTGCGCCATTCTGTAAAGGGAGCATGACCTGAGACCACCTTGGTGATTTATGAAGGCTACCACCGTCATGTTGTCTGAGCGGACCAGGACGTGATGCCCCTTTAAGGTTTGTAGGAAGGCTTTCAGGGCCAGAGAAACAGCCATCATTTCAAGGCAGTTGATGTGCAAGCTTTGCTCCAGGTGTGACCAAGAGCCGAACACCGGTCTGCCCTCGTACAGTGCTCCCCAACCTGTGTTGGAGGCATTTGTCATGACTACCTTCCTCCTGGAGGTCAGCCCCAATGGGACACCTGACTGAAACAGGCGAGAAATTCTCCAAGGGGCCACAGCTTTGATGCAGTGGTGGTTTAGCCTGAGACGAATATGCCCTAGGCGCTAAGCGTGGGACGGCACATGGCCTTTGAGCCAAAATTGAAGGGGCTGCATGAGAAGCAGGCCCAGAGAAATCACAGAGGAGGCGGCTGACATAAGGCCAAGCATCCTCCTGAAAATCTCTGAGGGGACACAAAGTCCTGCATTTGAATGATGTTGCTAGTCGCTGAACCATCAGAGAGCGTTCCAGCATGATCCATGCCTGCATTTGGGCTGAATTGATCACTGTCCCCAGGAAGACGATTCGCTGGCTGGGAGTTGTGTCACTGAATCTTCCACTGCCAGGTGCTCTTCTACGGCGAGCAACAGGCTGAGCTTCTTTGCTTCATCTTCTTGCTTCGGCTTCTTGCTTCAGAGTCCATGCGAGGAGATGTCTTCTTCGCTGAAGGAGAAAAATTCTGACGAATGGAGCTCTGAGCCAACTTATATAGTAGTTGGCTCCTCCCCTTTTTGCGGGTTGAAGCGGCATTTGTTCGTGCAGGTACACGAACGTGAACAAATCAGGCTTCAGTATCAGAGTAAACAGGAGTTGAGGTACCTTTGGAAAGGGAACTCACATACATTGTTTGATGAATTGATTAAAAAATGTTCTGAAAGCACTGGAACACACAAACATGAAATTTACAGAGACTGTTTATAGAGAACTGTATAATCTATTTTTAATCTATTTTAAAATCTACCCAATTTGTTTCAGATTTGTGTTATGATAGCTTGTGTATTATTTACAGTTGTATTTGATGTTGATTAGATTATACATCCAAAATTGATCAGAAACGTAATTTATTTCATTGTTTTGTTTGAAACAATTTTAATGTTGAAATTTTATGAGCATGATCCTCAAAAATTTATCTGAAAATCAATTCCAGGCGACAACTATTGCCCCTTAAAAACATTTCTGACATTTATCTGATCTACATTGCATACGATACACATGAAAATAATGTATACATTAAAATGCTGTATACATTAAAATAATTCATTGCATGCTTATTTTCATAAAGAGAACAGAGAATATTCTTACCACTCCTCGCGCGTATTGATCTGGCATCAGCGCAGGTCGCGCGCTCACAACACTGAGAAGCGCGGCGCCGATCATTGTAAGAACTGCGGTCATGGTCATTCAGTGTGATACGCACGGGTTGTTCACAATCTCAAAACTACCATATTAAGTGTAAAAACGCAAAACTGTTAATAGCGAATCACAAACATATCCTTGAGCACAATTAAAACAGGTGAAATCTGTTAACATTAGGCATCTAGAAAAAAAAGATGCTATAGTCACTGAGAATAGCATGTATTCTTCATTCATAGTCACGCTTTGACCGCCGTTTCAGATTACTTCCCAAGAGGATGGGTGTTGTTTTGATCAATACTGTCCTGCACCTCCCTCTCTTCCCCTCAGTGGGAGCATCCGTCTAAATGTGTGACCTAATGAATGCACGTGCGACCCCTGATCACGGGTTGCGGTGTATGAATAACCATATGGCACATATATGGCCATTAAGTGAAAAACTATATATTGCAGTTCAATTGTTCTGGTTAGTATGACTTTTAAAGAAATTAATAATTTTATTCAAAAATGACAGTCAAGACATAATGTTACAAAAGATGAAAATATAATAATATAATGAACAAAATATTACTGTTTCCACACAAAAAAATTAAACAGCACAGCTGTTTTCAAAATTAATAACAATTATACATGTTTCTTGAGCAGCAAATCAGAATATTAGAATGATCATGTATCTCTGAAGATTTGAGCAATGACTGCTGAAAATTCAGCTTTGCCACTTTACCATCACAGAAATGAATTACATTTTGAAACACACACACACAATATATATATATATTGTGAAGTAGTATGAAAACATTATTTTCCCATTTTCTATAATTATGTTGGAGGCATAAGACCCCCTGATAAGAGGAAAGGGTACTGTGCATTGTGTTCTGATAAAAATAGACAGGATGTTATGAGCTTCGGTGTGGGTGAATGAATAAAGGGAAACATTAATAAATAAATAAACCATGCATGTTATGGATCCTCAAGATGTTGGTTCTCTTAATCATCATCAGGGCTTCCCTTTACTCAATCTTTTCTTGCTGAGTTGACAAATCATTGAATCACCAGCATGTTTTCTGATAATGGTTTTTTTTATTACTGTGCAAGCAACACAACATCTCCCCAGCACAAACATCAGTAAAGTAACAAAGAAATGCCTATTCCTAGTTTATGTAGTTTATGGTTTATGAAACCAAACATACAGCACTACTCTGTATATTATATTACCAGTCTTCTGCTGCCATGCTGTGATTGATGTTACCATGCCTTCTGTGAAGTGTTTAGGTTTGGTTCTCATTGAGCTCCAGCCCCTGGCTGAAGGAGTACTCTGCCTTATGATGCATGATTAGTGTGTTATTGGCGAAGTAGAAGCTGTCTGACCTCGTCTCAAAAGGGTGGCTGATCATGTCCTCAACTGAAATAATAGAACATACTCAACATTTTACACTTACACAAGCACCATTATGTTCACATGAATAGTTTTTCATTCAGTTGTAAAATGTGTGAAATGCATTGTAAGTTTGTGTGTTACTCACTTGTGTGTGAATCCAGATCTGGTAAGCAGTAAATGTGTTCACAGGTGTTTCTGCTGTATGGGATACAGAAACCGATCTCAAAGTCAAACGTCTTCAGCAGCAGATCCCTGAAGTAATGCCTCTCAATCAGCCGAAACTTGTTGACTGCCTTACCGCCCACTGTAAACTCAAGCCTGTTCAGAAGAGAGTTTGCACATTATGCAAACATGTTAATTAAGATTGTAGTTACTGATTTGGATTAAATATTTCAATCTATTCTAAAGGCTCCAAAGCAATCTTATTAAAAACTAAACATACGTGGCTCCAATCTCCCTGAGATTTAGAAAAGTAGGACTGAAATGATACTGAATGAAACGGCCTGCATCCAGCTCTATGACATCCTTTATTTCTGTGAGAGAAAGAAGAGGAATTTATATCAGTGTTGTTCTTGTTAACTAAAATTTAAAAAAAGCACATTTGAAATGAAATTAAAATTAAAATTAAATTAAAATGAATTGAAAATGAAATTGAAAATTGAAATGAAAATGAGAATTACTGAAATACTTAAACTGAAATAAAATGTTTAAGGTGAGGTGCTAAAATTACTAAAACTAAAACTTAAATAAGAATAAATGAAAGCTAAACTGAAATATTAAAAGAAACTAATATAAATGACAAATGCACATAAAGTCACTAAAACTTCAACTAAAATGAAAAGATACTGCAATAAATGCTAATTCAAAATATTAATACATACTATAACAGTACATAAATATACAGTGCATTGACACATTGTATTATTTGACAAAATCATGACAAAAGCACATAAAATCAAGAAAACAAATATTAAAACAAACTGAGAATATAAACATAAATGCTAGATCAAAATATTAAGGCTGAAAATACAAGCCATTTTTGAAAAGCTACTGCACACGATGTCCACTAGAGGTCAAATAACATGTTTGGCTCCTCATTAGCATAAACAGTACCATCTCATTCACAATCTGAGACATCCTACTTAGCCAAGTTATGTGTCTTCTACAAAATCACCCAGTGAAACAGAAAGTAAGTGAACGCAATGTTAAAAAGGCACTAACACACCTGTCGAACAGCGTCGTTTTAGGTCCAGAATGACCGATCCACCTTCTAGGTCTCTTATTTTGAATCGTGAAAAGCTAATATTGTAGACGTTGTCTTCTGGGGAGCACAGGTAGTCTGTACACATAACCAATAACAGTAAAGAAAAGAAAGTATCACAGTAAAAGAACAAAAAGAACAAATAAACTGCTTGGTGTGTGGTGTCCTCACCGTCGGTGTATCCTGGTAGCATGAGGACATACTGAGGAGTCACAGGGTCACCTGGCTTCCAGTCCAGCAGCACCTCCTCTTCAGCTGCAAGTCCTCCTCCTGAAATAAACCCATTCCAGACCTCCATGTCCCTCAGATCCCCTCTGTCCTGGATTTCTGCCATTTCCTCCTCATCCTCATCAGCTTCATCTTCCTCCTCTGGTTCGCTGTCCTCGTCTTTCTCAGAGGACATTTCTTGCTCCATTTCTTCCTCACTCTGTTGTTCTTTAACACCCTCACTGTCCATCTAAAATCTTTGCCTAAGAGTACTGTTCCTCAAAGGTTTCTCTCGGGTTAACTAGCACAGGCCCATCTGTTGCCTGGCACTCTCTGTGATTACCCTCAGCTTTTCTCTCATAAACTGTGTCTCAGTGACTCAAACAGATTAAGGCTTTCTCAAACAGCTAATCCAAGACAATCCTCAATTAAACACAGACCCAGCAACTATGGCATCAATGAAAGGACAAAAGGGAATTTGAGATAAACAGATAGTATAGAACAGTGATGTGGAGAATAGTTAGTGGAAAAGGAAAAAGAGATCTGCAGGACTGAAATTAATAAATAGATATGACTGAAAGTGTGGTGACGAAAGTGAGAAGTTGCAAATGAAGTCACAGCTAGCTATCTCAACTGGTGGGTCGCGACCTAAAAACCCTAGGACACAGCAGGCAAAAAAAGAGAAAAAAAATTCATAAATGCAAATAATGAAATGAGTGAGTGAAGTTATGTGTGGCCAAGTATGGTAACCAATACTTGGAATTTGTGTTCTGCATTTAAACCATCCAAGTGCCCACACACAGTAGTGAACACACACCCAGAGCATTGGGCAGCCATGTGCTGCAGCGCCCTGGGGCGCAGTTGGGGGTTTGGTGCCTTGCTCAAGGGCTTCACCTAAGTCGCGATATTGAGGGTGGAAGAGAGCACTGGTTATTCACTCCCTCCACCGACAGTTCCTACCAGACCTGAGACTCGCACCCACAACCTTTGGATTACAAGTCCTACTCTCTAACATTAGGCCACGACTGCCCACAAATGCAAGTTACAATATACACTGATGTTCAAATGTTCAGTAATACATTTTTGTTTTCAAATGTTTTCATTTTCAAATAAATGATGTTCTTTTGAAATGTTTAATTCATCAAAGAACCCAGAAAATATAAAGCAGCAGAGTTGTTTTCAAAAATGTTAATAATAATAATAAATGTTTCTTGAGCACCAAATCAGCATGTTTTCTAGGGGTGCTCCGATTGATCGGCTACTGATCACTATCGGCCGATAATCATGTTGGGATGATTGATCAGCGGACTCTAAAAAGGCCGATCTCAAAAACCGATCTCAAGCTGATGACGCTGCCGTGAGAGGGTTGG